AGAACAGCGTGCAAGTAATGTATCACTCAGATTCTATCTCAATCCTTTATAATTTTCTTCCACCAAATGATAACTTTTGACTTCCCTTTTATTTATTTTTTCATGACAGATTATATTACCCTTGTACGACAGATTAATTGTTTCTCCTGTAAACTATTAAGATTTGGTTTTGTTGGATGTGATTAATTTAGGAGCCTGCCTCATATTGCATGATAAGTTGCGTGTGCTATCCACTAAATAAGAACAATAGAATATGCTTATTTTGATGCGTTTGTGGTTTCCATTATATGATCACCATTTAGCAACAAGCAAGCAAGAAACTGACATGAGCTTTATCTCAATCTCAAGGTTGGTGCCATCAAATGCATTTGATGCTCATATCTTTCTTCTTCACTCACAACCAATCAATGTCATGAACTGCAATTTATAAATCAACAGTATGTTACTATTTATAATTAATTAAGCTCATTGTGTTGTTAAAGAATCTGCCCATACACGTATGTTATTACTTCATCCATGATACCAGTTTGTTGCAATGTACCTACGCATTTGCTACCAAGTTCATCATGACAACTAAGAATCAACCCAAAGCATTGATGAGTTTCTTTTTGTGTGTCTACACAGACAGAAATGATGCCTTTGACTCATGAAGAAAACTTGTTGCAGTCTCTGATAATCATCGTAAAGAAGCTGGATAAGTTTTAAAATCATATGGTATTAAAAACATTGAATTTAATCAATGATAATCTATGATATACAGTAAGATGTTTCTATTTGGTGCGTCTGTTGTACTTTCTGTACTTATTAATACGACGAGTATTATACTGAGAAACTGTTATATCAGTAAACTACCACATACTCAATTTTTATTTATTTTTTACGAAATAATCGCAAATTCTATTTTATTTATTTTTAGCTTATTAATTTACCACATAAATAAACATTCAATTTTCAATTCAAATATAACTAACTCGAAATACAAACATAGTCCAATGTATACCAAAGTTTCCACTATAAATTAAAACGTGATTAACAAGTTCACTGATGCGTGTTGTATTGCAAGAAGTTAAGTAGAGTAATTGGATGGATTTTTACTTGTGTGTTAAAATAAAAGAGAACAAGAATAATGGTACTTTAATCATTATTAAAAAAATTGGACTTATTCTTCCATTTTATTTATGGTTGGTTTAGCCTCAAAATTTTGTCCATTATTTATTATATATATATAAGTGTAAAATATTTATTATTATTATTATAATAGTCTACATAAATTATTATTTTATACTATTAAAATAAAAAGAATAATGAAATACATCATTTATTTATCTTTGATATATAAAAAGAAATTACATTTAATGATGTATTTGGGATAAATAATTTTGTAAGTCCCTCAATCTAAAAAATATATATTTTAATCCCTCAAATTTAGTAAAATTGTGATTTAATAATGTTATTAGGTGAAATTTTATTAATTTAAAAGACTAAAATCATAACTAAATTTTAAAGTGAAATATGTTTTGATGCAATAAATATGATAAATTTTTATTATAATTAAAATATTTTCTCTTATAATATTAATTATTTCAGTTAAAATTTTAATTATTACAGTTAAAAAAAATCATTAAGTGATATGTATAATAACTATGTATGTGATTTTAATTTCAGAATTTTTATAAAATATAATAATTTCAGAATTTTTATAAAAGATAATGATTGATCAATTTATGTATAATCAAAGTCATCATATTTACACCTTGAATTTTTTTTCTAATCTGTAAATGATACTTAAATTTACGTATAAATCACTCAATAAATCTAACAATTTGTGTGGTAATGGTAATGATTAAAAATTTAATAAAGTAATTAATAATACATGAAATCTAATAAAATATTTTAATTATATTAAATATAAATATTTATAATTATTATTATATGAAAAATATATTTTATCTTTAAATTTATAAATTATGTGAATATTTTCAAAAAAGTTTATTGATTGATTAGTATTTTTATTAAATAAATTAAAATAATTATTACTTTTATATATTAAAAATAATATTATAAAACAATATAAGACAGAAAATATTATAACAATTTGAATTATAATTTAATAAAAAAAGTCGATAAATTATTGGTGATTGCGCATACGACAAAAGTACCAATCCACTGACAAAATTAATGGTGGACTGATGGGTGATTGACGGAACATGATCTGCTTTGTTACCGTATTTGATGTTCGAAGGAGATTGAGTTTCGGGTTGTGACAAAGATCATGTCAGTGAACGATCACATTAGTTTTTTCTTAGTGGGAAGAATGAAAAACCAAATTATTAGTACCTTGTATAGCTCTATTATTGTTAGAGAATTATTATAGCTTCATCTCTTCAAAAACTCTATCATTATAGGATTGGATGGAGGGACAAGATCGTTTGTTCGTCTAAATTTTTATAAGCTTTTATTAGTTGAAAAGATAATTAAAAAATAAAAAAAAAAGTGAATCAAAATTTTGATTAAATATGCAATATCTTTCTTCTTTGCTGCGAAGTGCATCTAATGTTTTATGTAGTACGTGACCTGCATTTTTATATATAAAAATAATTTAGATATATTAGTATTGTGATTAAATAATTATTAATTTTTATATGAAAAATTACTCAAGTAAATTTCTATCAGTTATTTATTTAAATAAATTTATTTATTGTTCATATATAATTTTTTCTTTCTTTTCATATGTTTTTTCTATCTCTTCTTCTACTTATCCGACACTATTATATTAAAATTTAATAAAATTATAATAATACTAAATAATTTTATTTATTGTGATAATAAATATATTCTATTTTTATGACGTAAATTACAATAATAATATTTAAATATCATAAATTTATTATATAATATTTGTAAAATATAATATATTAAATTATAGCATTTTTATATAATTTAAATATTTTTATTTTTTAAAAGTAATAAAAGACCTCATTTATCAAAATTTAATATGATATTTTTTGTTGGATAAAAAGATGAAGTGAGAAATAATAAAAGATGGGTAGGGACGAAAAACAAAAAAAAATTCAACATTAAACAAGAAAAAGAAATTAATAAAAAGAAATTAAAGAAAAAAAAGAAAAAAATAATGATACTATATCAAACAAATCTATTTTTTATTATTAATTTTGTCATATGAATAATAAACTTACGTACATTCATTTTTAAGTAATTTATTTTTTAATATATTATTGATGAGATTCATTGTGATATAATGAATATAATAATATATAGATTAAACACATGTTTGTTTTACTTTGTTATATTAGTCCAATTTCATATTTATAGTTTATTTTAATTTTTTAAGAAAATATTATTTAATTATAATCAAATCCAACAACACATATTATTATCTTTGATATATTTTTGTGAGATAAATAATTATCAAATTTAAGATAACATATCATTACTTATTATCTCATTAAAATAATAACTTAATATTAACATAATTAATTAAAAGATAAGGTCCTAAAAATTTTCAATAAGAACATATTCACAATCAAAAACTCATTTAAATTTTAACTCAATTTCAATGTTCATATTTACTTTTTAATGATTATTCTCTAATTGACTTTGAAAGAGTAGAATATCATTTGGATGGACTTTTAACCTTTATTATGTCCAACCCCGTTACAAGTCACACATGAGCTTATACAGTAAGAAAATAAAATATGCACCTCACGGTAAATTCAACCCCAATACATTCAATTTTTTTACAATAACATGAAAAAAAGAAAACCGTTTAAAATAAGATATTATTATATATCTTAATGATTTTTTTAAAATTACAATATCAAATAATAATAACTTTACATACATAAACTCTTCTGTCTCTATTCAGACAAATTATATATTTTATATGTTAAGAGTGAATTCATCTGTTAAAAATGATTAAAAAAATATATTTATACAAAAATAAAATACCAATGTTCTTATTTAAATAATAATTTATACTTATTCAATGTTAATTATTCCTCTTTAATATATATTATATATAAAGTAATCAAATATATTTATAATATATTATTATCATAATATATATTAATATAAGAAATATTTAAGTTTAATGAGTGTTAATGTAAGATTTTTGTTTTAAAAAAAGTGTCGGTAAAAACTATTGGTTCTAATTATTTGTGTTTATTGTTCAATTTGAGTTTGTTTTTAAGTTTTCTTCTTCTAATAGTTACATTTAGTTCTTTTATATTACTATCATGTCTTATATTTTTTATTTGATTTTAGTGATTTTAGTCATTCTGGGTATGCGTAACTGATGATATTTACCCTTTTAGTCACGAAGATAAGAGAGTTCTTCAAACTCATTCACAGGAATAAAAGTTTCTCCTCTTACTACATTGGTGGATATGATTATCACGACGACTTCTAAAACCTTAAAAAATAGTAGTTAGTGCATGTCCAAGTTGTATTGAGAAAATTCAAAAGGCTAGATTTAATTCCATTCTAACGATTTCTCCCCTACCATGAATTCCTTGAGAGATCTTTCTCATTCACTTACTTACATTCTTTGTGGGATAGAGGGACCATTACCTACTTAATCATGTTTCTCTTAATAATCATAAGGTCAATTTGACGTGACATATTAACCTTACAATAAAGGGGATGAAGGCAGGGATGTGTTTCCTTATCCCCATAACATAGATATGTTTAGAACGATCAGTCCTATGAATTCTTTAGATTTGACTAAGGTAACGACGGGTCGATGCATGTTCATCATTCATTATTAGAAAATATTGTTTCTGACATGTACCAAGGTGAGACAACAAATGATGTTTTTTGTCTTAAAGAAACAAAAGGACCAACTTGAATCTATCTTGTTTGATCATAAATCAACCCTTTCTACTAAAGTTAAAGAAAACCAATCTCTTATACTTTGATTAAATGAGCTCCAAAGTCAGAATACTCTTTTCATTGTTAGGGTCAAGCTTCCAAAAAATTTGATGGATGAAGCTGAGGCTAAGGCTATAGAGGATGGAGAACAAGTCGAAGTTATTAAAGCTAAACTATTTGAGAAATTAGTAGAAGAACTCAAGGTGAGGGCTAGGGAGGCTAAAGGGAAGGGCTAAGGTTGTCAAGGCTAAACTTCCAGTAGGTGAGGAAGAACGGGTGGAGATGTACAAGGATGAAATCAATAAAGGTGTAGAACGAACTATAATTGAAAGCGAAAATAAAAACATAATTGAATTAGAAAGCTACAAACAAATTTGAATTGGATAATCAAAAATTGAAAGTGTAAATGCAAACAAAATTGAATTGGAAAACTAAAATTGAAATAGAAAGTAGATTCTAATTCATTTTCGCAGTACGGTTAGTTTTTGCATACTACTACAATTTCTTTCAATGCTTGTGGGGCTTCTAATGCTCCACCAATTGCACTTCAAAATTAGATTCACAACACTGCTTCAACTGCAACTCAAATTTGGCCACTCATGCTTGTGTTTCAATTACTTTTTCAAGCTTTCTAATTATTATGTCAATTTCAATTAACTAAAGGCAATGAAATAACTACTTTATAACAATTGAATCGAAAAAGCAAAAGCTTTAGAATGAAGCAATAAAAACAAACAATTCAACTATCAACAAGAATTAGAATTTAATAAATTGAAATCACGAAAGAACAACAAAATTGAATCAAAATATTAAAACCAAAAAATAGAAGAATTGAATTGGAAAATCAAAAATAGAAATTGAAAGTGAAAACGAAAACAGAATTGAATTAGAAAGCTAAAAGCAAATTTGAATTGGAAAATCTGAAATTGAAAGCGTAAATGCAAACATCATTGAATTGAAATAGAAAGTAGAAATGAAAATCAAAATTGAAAACAAAAATGGAATAAAATCGAATTGGGATTCTAAAAAATGGAATTGAAATAGAGAATTAAATCATAACATTGGAATAAAAAACTGTAATATCAAATTTGGATAACTAGAAAACAAAATTGAAAAGCAAAATTTAGCTGTAGAATTGAATCATGACTTGGAAACAAAACTGTAGTCGAGAGTGGAATTGCAGATTTGAATCAGAATTGGAATTGGAAATCAGAATTGGAATTAAAGTAGGAAACGATGAATTGACGAATGATTGAAAATCTAAAATTAAAATGGAAATGAACTGAGAACAAAATTTACAAGTATAATATGAAAATGAAACCAAAAGTAGAAATAGCATATGAAATCGAAACACAATAAGTAATTAAGTTGTTCATTGCTTGCTTGGTTTCTCAATCCAATCGGTGCAAAACAATTAGAAACTGAAATGATCTTGGTTGAGATTCAAGAAAATGAACCAATCGATCGATGCAAGAATGGTAGATGATAGAAAAAATAGGAAACGTGGGAAAGAATGAAAAACATAAATTGGAATTGCTATTTACTAAACTTGAAAATAGAAACAAAAATAGAAAAACCATAAATGGAAATAATGAAAAACTAAACTAAAAACTCAACACGCACACTTATCTACTTGTCTCATTTATATAAACTATTTTTGAAAGAGAAAAAAATGGTCAAAGTTGTACCAAATTTTGCCTTTACAATATATTCCTATATAGGAAAAATAACATTTTAAGTGTGAACATTGTGGCAAGTTAGGTCACAAGATTAACAAGTGTTATACATTATATGATTGTCCTCCTCGATTTGCTGCAGTTGTTCAGACCGATCATTTCTCACCTTTGTCTGCTACGGATCCTTCTTCTATTGCATATGACATACCTACTATGTTCAATAAATTTATCAAATGGTATAAGGATCAACAGTCTTCTAGTTCCACTACATCTGTCGCACACACATGTACATATTTTATTGGTCTGACCCAATCCTCTTCTCCTAGTCCTTGGATTTTTGATTCAGGAACCACTAATCATATTACTAGTAACAAATCTTTGTTCTTCTCTTTATCCTTTCCTAATCCTTTACCTTCTGTTACACTAACTAATGACTCTAGAGTATCATCTCATGGTGTTGGAACTGTTAAACTTTTCCCTTCTTTAACCATTGATAATGTTCTTTAGAGTGTCATTTTCTAGGATAGTATGTCGTCTTCGCAAATCCTTATATGGCCTAAAACAGTCTCTTAGTGATATGAATTACAAGGGGTAATTTAGGATCTTTAGGGTTATAACTTTGTAAGAAATTTAGGAATTAGAAAGAAGGTGGAAGGAAAGAATCACTCTTCCCAAGGGAGGCAACACACAAAGGATGTGACAGTCCTTTGATACAGCCAAGGGTTCTTGAATCACTCAAGAATTTAGGAGAATCACTCTCACTAAGATAAAAGAGATAAACTCTAATATTTTTTAATAAAATTTCACTTGTTATTTCTTGATAAGAATGGTTCAGCTGATATAGAAGCGTTGCCATCAGAATTACAAAAGACTCAATAAAAGAAAATAAATATTAATAATAACCCATTAATCTAGGAATTGAAAACTATTTAATGGAAACAAATAAAGGCTAATAATGATCAATTAACCTAGGAATTGAAACTACTTAATGACTGATTGTATCTGAAATTGTGGCAACCAAAAGTCAATAAGTTATGCACCCCTTGGTCTCCCAAAGGCTGATGACTAAATTTTCAATTGGGCCCTTATTACAACTTAAAACAAAATCAAACTAAAGCCCATTAATTGATTAATCCAAAACACAATTTGGTCAACCAACACTACTTGTTGAAGAGCTTCCTTTGTTCCCCTTGCTCTAGCCCTTATCATAGGTCATGTTCACATCATTCTCTCCCTCTTGAAAAGGATTTGTCCTCAAATCGGATTCGTCATCTACATTAAAAAGAGATAAGTCTGACAAATTAAATGTAGAACAAACATTATACTCACTTTTTATGGCTAAATAGCTCTGTTTCACTTCAAGTGTTTCACTCTTCTTTTGATCACTCTTTTTCCTCTCAAGTGTTTCATTAACGCTTTCTTTCTCTCTCTTTTCTTAAAGAAGTTTTTCTTTCATTTTCTTTTTATCCTCACATACTTCTTGTGAACTCAAAGGTTTGAGCACAATCTTCTTGTCTTGGTGTATGAAAGAAATCTTGTTGGTGAACCCGTTATGGTTAACTCTTTTATCAAATTGCCATGGTCTCCCCAAAAGTAAATGAATGACTTCCATAGGAATAATATCACAAAGCACCTTATCATTGTATTTTCCAATGGAAATGTCCACTTCAACTTGTTGTCTCACTTGCACCTCTCCATCCTTACTAAGCCATTGAAGTTTATATGGCCTAGGATGTGGTTTGGTAGCTAAATTTAGTTTTGATACTAATCTAGCACTAGCCACATTAGTACAACTACATCCATCTATGATCATCATGCACACCTTGTCATTGATTAAACATCTAGTGTGAAAAATATTTTTTCTTTGGTTTTCTTCCATAGGTTTGAATTGACTATCAAGTAATCGTCTAATCATCAATAAATCTCACTTTGGAATCTCTTCCTCCTCCTCAGTGTCTTCACTCTTTTCTCCCTCTTTAAGAATCATGGTCTTTGTGTTAGGGCACTCATAAGAATAGTGTCCTAGGCCTTGACACTTGAAACACTTCACATCTCTACTTTTTTTAGAGGGTTGTTCTTCATATTTTGAATGAGTCTTTGTAGGAATAGGTGTGGAACTACTAGAAGTAACAGTCCCATCTTTTTTGCCTTTGTCCTTCCAACTTGAAAATCCAAAGTTGGTAGAACTCTTCTTAGTCACTTCTTTTCTTTTGAGTTGTTGCTCCACTTGAATTGCTTTATGAAGTAAATCCTCCATATCAACAAACTCCTGCAACTCAACAATATCACATATATCAATATTCAAACCACCAATAAATCAGACCATAGTTACCTCTTCATCTTCTTCAATCTTTGCTTGAATCATGAGCATGTCCATTTCTTTGAAATACTCATCAACCCCTTTGTTGCCTTGAGTAAGTTTTTGGAGTTTAAATTTCAAGTCCCTTGCATAACTAGCCGGCACATACCGCTTCCTCATTATCCTTTTCATCTCAGTCCATGTATTAACCATTGACTCTTCATTTCTATCTCTCTCCTTTTGTAGCTTGTTCCACCAAACAAGAGCATAGTCAGAAAATTCTGTTGTTGCAAGCCTCACCTTTTGGGTCTCCTCATAATTGTTGCATGAGAAAACATGCTATATTTTCATCTCCCACTCCAAGTATGCTTCTGGATCACTTTTTCCTTTGAACGGAGGAATGTTAAGCTTGACTCCTTCAAGCCTACTTGGTCTTGTTACTCCATCATTCATTCTCCTATTTCTTCTTTCTTCTTCGTCTTCAGGATTTCTATTCTCCAACCGGTTCAATCTTTCATGGAGCTCATTGTTATGTCGTATCATTAATCCTTCCAAATGTTGTACCAATACTCTCATTTGAATTGGACTAATTCCTGCTTCTTGATTGTAATTTTCCTCTTCTGCCATAAATTTGATGTTTAAACCCTTAAAACGGAGCTCTAAATACCAAATGATATGAATTACAAGGGGTAATTTAGGATCTTTAGGGTTATAACTTTGTAAGAAATTTAGGAATTAGAAAGAAGGTGGAAGGAAAGAATCACTCTTCCCAAGGGAGGCAACACACAAAGGATGTGACAGTCCTTTGATACAGCCAAGGGTTCTTGAATCACTCAAGAATTTAGGAGAATCACTCTCACTAAGATAAAAGAGATAAACTCTAATATTTTTTAATAAAATTCCACTTGTTATTTCTTGATAAGAATGGTTCAGCTGATATAGAAGCGTTGCCATCAGAATTACAAAAGACTCAATAAAAGAAAATAAATATTAATAATAACCCATTAATCTAGGAATTGAAAACTATTTAATGGAAACAAATAAAGGCTAATAATGATCCATTAACCTAGGAATTGAAACTACTTAATGACTGATTGTATCTGAAATTGTGGCAACCAAAAGTCAATAAGCTATGCACCCCTTGGTCTCCCAAAGGCTGATGACTAAATTTTCAATTGGACCCTTATTACAACTTAAAACAAAATCAAACTAAAGCCCATTAATTGATTAATCCAAAACACAATTTGATCAACCAACACTACTTGTTGAAGAACTTCCTTTGTTCCCCTTGCTCTAGCCCTTATCATAGGTCATGTTCACATCACTTAGGGCTTGGTTTGAAAAGTTTAGCAAGGTTGTTCAACAATTTGGTATGACTCGGTGTGAAGCAGATCATTCTATCTTTTATCGACACTCGAATGCTGGATGTGTTTCTTGATAGTATATGTTGATGATATCGTTCTTACAGGTAGTGACAACCATGACATCTCTCAGTTGAAACAACATCTCTGTCACAATTTTCAGACCAAAGATCTTGGCAAACTCGGATATTTCTTGGGTATTAAGGTGGCACAGTCCAATGATGCTATTGTTATATATCAGAGGAAGTATGTCATGGATATTTTGGAGGAAACTGGGTTAATGAGTTCAAAGTATATTGATACACCCATGGATCCCAATACTAAACTTCTACCAAATCAGGGGGAGCCTATATCTTATCCTGAGCAGTATAGAAGATTGGTTGAAAAATTGAATTATCTTACAGTTACTCGTCCTGACATTTCCTTTGCAGTCAGTGTGGTAAGCCAATTTCTTAATTCATCATGTGAAGATCATTGAAATGTAGTCATTTGTATCTTGAAGTATATTAAAGGATCTCCTGAAAAAGGATTGTTATATGGTTCTAATAATCATACAAGAGTTGTTTGCTACTCAGATGCTGATTGGGCAGGATCTCCTTCAGATAGAATATCTACATATGGATATTGTGTCTCCATTGGTGGTAACTTGATCTCATGGAAAAATAAAAAAAAAAGTGTTGTGGCAAGATCTAGTGTAGAAGAAGAATATAGAGTTATGACATCAGCTGTCTGTGAACTTATTTGGCTCAAGCAATTGCTTAGAGAGTTACAATTTGGATATGTCGCTCAAATGACACTTGTGTGTGACAATCAGGCTGCTCTTTATATTTGTTCTAATTCTGTCTTTCATGAGAGGAACAAACACATTGAGATTGACTGTCATTTCATTT